TGTGCCTGCTTTTGAAAGTCTGGGCACTTGCCAAGAAGATCAGTAGGTTAAGGATATCAGAGTTCATTCTTCGAGGTCAAGTGACCTGACCTATCACTTCTAACACAAAAATAACTTTTAAGATGGTAAGTTATATATTCTTGTGATACTATATACACTTTAGCACATTTAATTATTTTTTTGCCCTGGGTATAAAGATGTGAATTTTCTTGTTGTTTGACAGATAGTGATTATAGAGCACAAATCCATCATCTGCCCAGGTTATAATGCGGTGCTGCATATTCATACCTGTATTGAGGAAGTTGAAATAACAGTGAGTATTAAGATAATTGGGGGTTTTGTTTGTTTTTCTTAAGGCCATTTCATCTTAATAATTTCTTACCAATAGTAGTGATATACTCTTATTTGCATGCCTATTCTTAAAGATTCTTTTATTTGGCATTATTCTGATGTCTTTTCATCCTTTTATCTTGGATAGGCCTTAATTTGCTTGGTAGACAAAAAATCAGGAGAAAAAAGTAAGACTCGACCCCGTTTTGTGAAACAAGATCAAGTATGCATTGCTCGCTTAAGGACAGCAGGAACCATCTGCCTTGAGACCTTTAAAGACTTCCCTCAGATGGGTCGATTTACTTTGAGAGATGAGGGTAAGCCTTTAAATTGATGTGTAGTAGTATGTCTAAAATAGACTCTTCACCCGAGTACAGTTCATAGAGAACCTGGGTGCATGTTTTATGAGTTAAATGAATTGGACAACAGGTAAAATTAGCTATGCATTTTAGCAGTAATGCTCTAGAACAGCGGTTCTCAACCTGGGGGGCGAACGACCCTTTCACAGGGGTCGCCTAAGACCATCGGAAAACACATATATAATTACATATTGTCTTTGTGATTAATCACTATGCTTTAATTATGTTCAATTTGTAACAATGAAATTGGGGGTCACCACAACATGAGGAACTGTATTAAAGGGTCACGGCATTAGGAAGGTTGAGAACCACTATTCTAGAAGAATTTTGATATTTTGCCAGTAGTGAGTTTTAAGAGCCATTTATTTACTATAAGCAAGACATTTCTGTGATATAATCCTTCATAATATATGTGATTAAAACCCATCTTTGTGCATTAAATATAATCATATTCTGTTTAAAAAAAAAACAAAAACCCATCTTGCCCTTTTAAGATTTGGAAGGTGAGCTTGAGGTACATATCTTGTCATTTTGTGGTCAGAAGAAATCATTTAAAAATCAAATATAATACATTTACTGCACTGATACGAGGGTGGGAATAAAAGGGATATATAGATTGATTGCCTTTTAACACTTGTTTTTTTAGAGGGTTAATATTCATGCTCTTTTTGAGTTAATCTGAAGAGCTATAATTTTTCTGTCTTGTGGCCATGAAATTCTTTGGTATCATGAAAACAAAATGATTTTTACTAAACATTTCTCTATAGATTGTTAACTTAGATAACTATTTTAAGATTGGAAAATTTATATAAAACTTTGGTTCCTTTGAAATATAGAATACAATTGTATGTTCAAATTCCATTCAGCAAAAAAATTGCAAGTCAAAAACTGTGCTTAGCACTGGAAATATAATGATAAATGTGGTTGCTGCACCTTAGTTCTAGTTCAGGGAAATCTTTATAAAGACACTATAGAGTTCTTAAAATTTTTTATTTTAAAAATCTGCTTGGTGTTAGTGAAATTCACTGATTACTGGTTGTCCTATTAATATTACAAAGTTAGTCCAACTGGCCTGTGGCTCAGCGGTTGAGTGTTACCTATGAGCCAGGAGGTCACGGTTTGATTCCCAGACAGAGCACATGACTGGGTTGTGGGCTAGATCCCCAGTGTGGGCAGTGAAGGAGGCAGCCAATCAATGATTCTCTCTCATCATTGATGTTTCTATCTCTTTCTCCCTCTCCCTCTTAAAACAATAAAAATATCTTTATATATATATTTCTCAAAATTACAGAGGAAGTAAAAATAAAATTACAGAGGAAATTAATGTAGCATGAATTTTTAACCCCCAATAATTATTTTTTCCTAAATATAGTGGAACCTTGTTTATCGAATTTAATTCATTCCAAAAGGCTTCTCAAGAAGTGATTTGTTCAAAAACTGAATCATTTTTCCCCATTAGAAATTATGTAAATTGAATTAATTCATTCCAAACACCCAAATGATTGTTTCAACTTTTCTTATATACAGTACATGCTTAATGTACTGTTTAATTTATAAATAAATACTTCTTTTCTTAAATTTATCAAACCACCCCCTACTAGCCTTAAAGGAATTTTTTTCTGTATCATTACCTCCAAAATGCTATCACCAGCTAACTGCTTTTCCTTTATCCAAATTTGACTGCTGTTTGTGAGCGCTTTCAGACCCTTGGCAACATTAGCACTTTAAAAAAAAATTTTTTTTTATTGATTTCAGAGAGGAAGGAAGAGGGAGAGATAGAAACATTAATGATGAAAATCATTGATCGCTGCCTCCTGCATGGCCCCACTGGGGATTAAGCCTGCAATCCTGGCATATGCCCTTGACCGCAGTCAAACCCGGGCTAGGGCAGTGGTCGGCAAACCGCGGCTTGCGAGCCACATGCGGCTCTTTGGCCCCTTGAGTGTGGCTCTTCCACAAAATACCACGTGCGGGCGTGCACGTACAGTGCGATTGAAACTTCCTGGCCCATGCGCAGAAGTAGGTTTTCGGCCTGGGCAAGTCTATTTTGAAGAAGTAGCGTTAGAAGAAGTGGGGGGTGTCAGTCCGTCGGGTGACGGGAGACGCAGCGCGGGGGAGGTTCACCGAGGTCGACCCCTCCCAACTCTCCTATCCCCACTCGTATCTGAAACAAGTATACAAGACAAGTATGGATAGGAGAGTTGGAAGGGGTCGACTTCGGCGAACGTACCTCAATCAGATTGAGGACGTTTTTAGCAAAGGCCAGTTTAGGAGTACCCTAATTAAGTTAATAACAATGTACCTGCCTATATAGTTTAAGTTTAAAAAATTTGGCTCTCAAAAGAAATTTCAGTCGTTGTACTGTTGATATTTGGCTCTGTTGACTAATGAGTTTGCCAACCATTGGGCTAGGGCAACATTAGCTTCTGTCCTTTGCTTGTTGTCTGAGACCCCTTTTGTCATGCTGAAGTATCAGCATGAAAGGATTGTCAGGTGGAAAACCCAGACATTTTTTTTTCTGTGAACATCTTGGTCAAGAACCAAATTGTTCAAGATGGGAGACCTTCGAGAAATGAGGTTTCACTGTAGTAGGTTGATTTTTAGTCCCCCCCCCATAAGACGGAGAGCCCCTTTTAACATCTTTGAGATAATTCATACTATGAAATAGAACTGTTTTAAGTGTACAATGCAATGAATTTTAGTATCTTTACAGAGTTGTGCAGTCATCGCATTCTAATTTTAGAATGTTTATTATAGCTAAAAAGAAGCCCTTTTACCTATTTACAGTTATCTCCTACTCCTACCCCCAGACCTAGGCAATCACAGCATTTTTTTCTATTTGCCTTATTGGATAAGCCATATAAATAGAACATAAAATTTGTGGTCTTTAGTATCTAGTTTATTCCACTCAGTATGGTGTGTGTTTTTTTTAAAATCTTCACTGGAGGGTGGCTTTTAAAAAATTATTTTTAGGGAGAGGAAGGAGAAAAAGGGAAACATCAATTTGAGAGAGACATCGATCAGTTGCCTCCCGTATATGTCCAATAGCACCTGCAACCTAGATAGGTGCTGCCCTGACCAGGAGTCAAAACCACAACCTTTTGGTGTACGGGTTGACACTCCAACCAATTGAGCCACCAGGCCAGGGCCACTCAGTGTGTTTTTTGAGATTCAACCATGTTATATATCATGTATTGTATATGTCATTCCTTTTGGTTGCCAAATAGTATTCAAGTGTACTAATATTCCACATTTTACTTTTTCTAAGAGATTTTTTTTAATCCTCACTGGAAAATACTTTTCCATTGATTTATAGAGAGAGGGAAAGACAGAGAGAAATATTGATGTGAGAGAAACATATTGATTGGTTGCCTCCTGCATGTGCCCTGACCAGGGCCCCCGGGCCAGGGAGGAGCCTGCAATCAAGGTACAGGCCCTTGACCAGAATCAAACTTGGGACCCTTAGGTGTGCAGGCTGACACTGTATCCACTGAACCAAACCAGGTAGGGCAAGAGATTTCTTAATCAGAAATCATGTCTTTGTTGTCAGCAAGACGCTTTTTGTCATGCTGAGGTATCAGCATGAAAGGGTTGTCAGATCCAAAACTGAAGTTAATACTTCACATTGTAAAAATTAAGATTTAAATTAATAACCTTTAAATACCTTAGATGGCTTTGCTGTTAACTACTGAAAAAGTTTTTTTGTTTTTGTTTCATTTTCAGGTAAGACCATTGCAATTGGAAAAGTTCTGAAACTGGTTCCAGAGAAAGACTAAGCATTTTCTTGATGACCCTGCACAATACTGTGAGGAAAATTGACTGCAAAAGCCTACTTCACACCGCCTTCTCATATTTTCTGCCCATTGACAAACCTCTCCCCATATTTTGCAAGACAAAATTCACAGCAAAAGTCCACATTATGTCAGCTTTCTCATATTGAGAGCTCTGCTATGCCACTGTTGAATTTTTCCCAATATTTTTTTCTTCCCCTCTCAAACTGCTTCCTTGGACAGATTTGGCAATAGCTTTGTAAGTGATGTGGACATAATTGCCTACAATAATGAAAACCTATAGAAATTTTTTAATTTTTCATTTTCCCCTTAGGCATACATAGTCTTTTTTTCCCCCAGGCAGATCATTCTGAGTGTGCGAGTGTGTGTGCACATGTTACAAAGACAACTACCATGTTAATAAAATATTCAATTTGAAACCCTTTTCGGTATTTGAATTGCTTTTGAATAATGTTTTTTATCTGGATATAACATTGTTGCATTAGCTTTTTAACGTTACCAAGTAATTGAATGCATTTTATTACTTGGACTTTTCTAAACTC